GGCAGGGTCAACAGGATTTGCAGATGGACTGGGAGAAAGAGAGGAGTCAGGGCGACGTTGAGGTTTTGGCCTGAGCACCTGGAAAAGGCAGGTGGGTATTTACTGAAGGAGGGTGGGGTCTGGGAGGAGCAGATCTGAGGGGGCTATGGTGAGCCCAGCTTGGCCCCTTGCATTGAAGCTGCCTCTCAGAATCCATCTAGGGGTGTCCAGCAGGCAGCTCGGTAGCTTCTTTCTGTTGGGAAGATCTTAGAATCCAGTCCCCTGTCCCTTGTATCTGGATCTTATTTCGTAGATCTAATTTTTAGTTTCATATTAGCCTTATAAGTCATTAATATTAATCCATATTTAGTTCACTTTAATTACATTTACTATTATAAAGGAGCCATCTTTGCTGGTCAGATGGTGCTTCCCTGGCACCAACTCTCTCCAGACTTGGCATGGGTAATCCCTGCTCTTCTCTCATCATCCTTCATCCCCTCCTTACCCCACAAACCAAAAAGCCAAGCCAGATGCCACTGAGTCGACTCTGACTCATGGCGACCCCATGTGTGTCAGAGCAGGACTGTGCTCCATAGGGTTTTCAATGGCTGACTTTTCAGAAGCAGATTGCCAGGTCTTTCTTCTGAGGCTGCTCTGGGTGGACCTGAGCCTCCAACCTTTCAGTGAGAAGTGGAGTGTATTAACTGTTTGCACCACACAGGGGCTCCCCTTACCCGCCACAAACAAAAACCATGGCCGTCAAGTCGATTCCTACTCATTCTAGGGCTTCCTCTCATAAAGTTCTTTCTCTCTCTTTTTTTTGTCTATAAGAATTCTGCTGATCTTGGGGTTTCCAAGAGGCACACAGGTGGTTTTCAGTTTCCTAATTCCCAACCTGTATTCCGTACGCTCATTCATTCAACAAATTAAATACATACTATATGCCCGACAGAGTCCCTGGGTGGTGCACACAGCTAAGTCAAGTCCACCCAGAGGCGTGTCGGGAGAAAGGCCTGGTGATCTTCTGGAAAATCAGCCTCTGAAAACTCTATGGACCCAGTTCTACTCTGACACACACGGAGTGGCCATGATTTGGAGCTGACTTGACAGCAACTGGTAATTGCCAGAGACATAATCAAGAGAACATGGCCTGCAGAGAAGGAGCTAATGGTCCTTAATTATAGAAATGGGGTCAAAACTCTTTTTCTTTTCTACAAAGGTCCACAATCCCTTAAGACAATGCCAAAATCCAAAAAACTCTGAAAACTGGAAGATTTTCTTAAGTTTGGCCCAGACTCACTTGTGACAACACCTGATGTGAACTGACACGAGGCCATATTTATGGTCCTTATCTAGATGCCTGGGTGGCGCCAACAGTTTGCACTCAACCACTAACCAAAAGGTTGGCGGTTTGCACCCACCCAGCAGCACTGCAGAAGAAAGGCCTGGCGATCTGCTTCTGTAAAAATTACAGCCAAGCAAACCCTATGGAGTAGTGCTACTCCGTAACACGTTGGGTCACCCTGAGTCAGAATCGACTCAGGCAACAGGTTTGCAAACTGTTTGTGCCCCGCAGGGACCTAAACAACCACTTGTTACTATAAAAATCCCACAAGCGCATTCAAAACGTGGACTCAATTACAGTGTTAACGAAATGCAATGAAAGTCAAATTAACTGTTGATTAATATGAATTAATTATAACTCTAACCTGAAACTAAAAATTGTTGTTAGGTGCCATCGAGTTGGTTCTGACTCGTAGCAACCCTATGTACAACAGAAGAAAATACTGCCCGGTCCTGCGCCATCCTCACAATTGTTGCTATGTTTGAGCCTGTTGTTGCAGCCACTGTGGCAGTTCATTTTGTTGAGGGTCTTCCTCTACTTCACCAAGCATGATGTCCTTCTCCAGAGACTGATCCCTCCTGATAACATGTCCAAAGTACGTGAGATGAAGTCTCACCATCCTCGCATCTAAGAAGCATTCTGGCTGTACTTCTTCCAGAATAGATCTGTTCATTCTTCTGGTATATTCAATATTCTTTGCCAACACAATTCAAAGGCATCAATTCTTCTTTGGTCTTCCTTATTCACTGTCCAGCTTTTACATGATTGAAAATACCACGGCTTGGGTCAGGCGTACCTCAGTTCTCAAAGTAACAACTTTTTAACACTAAAGATGTCTTTTACAGCAGATTTGCCCAGTGCAATACGTCGTTTGATTTCTTGACTGCGGCTTCCATGGAGGTTGACTGTGGATCCAAGTAAAATAAAATCCTCGACAATTTCAATCTTTTCTCCATTTATCATGATGTTGCTTATTGGTCCAGTTGTAAGGATGTTTGTTTTCTTCATGTTGAGGTGTAATCCATACTGAAGGCTGTGGTCTTTGATCTTCATCAGTAAGTGCTTCAAGTCCTCTTCACTTTCAGCAAGCAAGGTTGTGTCATCTGCATAACGCAGATTGTGAATGAGTCTTCCTCTAAGCCCAATGCCCCGTTCTTCTTCATATAGTCCAGCTTCTCGGATTATTTGCTCAGCATGCAGATAATAATAAGTACGGTGAAAGGATATACCCCTGACGCACACTAAAAATTAGACCCACGAAATAAGGGCCAGAGAAGTAATTTCCTGGCATCTGCCTTACTGGTGAATCCATCTGTCCTAGCAGTGCTTCCGTGATAAATATTGTTAAAAGATGAATATTACCATGACAAACACACTTTCAGGTAATATGTGCCCTTCACCCAGGAAGCAAATAATAACTGAATTTTGAAGGACTTGCCTCTTACTTGGGGTAATTAAGAACTCTGTCCCTTGCCTCTCTGCTCCCCCTTTTGAGCTTACTAGGAGGCTTATCTGGGACGAGATAGGAAAGTATCCAAAGGGCTAAATAATTCAGGATTGCTTTTACTGCCAAGGCAAATGACTGTACTTCTGAACTCATTCCTGATTCAAAGCAGTTGAAATATCACATGATCATAAACCAGTTATTTTTCTCATCCTATATTATGAAAAGACTTTTGCACATGCCTGAAAAAACGACCAGTCCAATACTCCAACGCTTTCGAGCTGTCTGTGTTCCCCTGTGCAGGGCCACCGACAAGGAAACTAAATTCCTTCCCTGGGAGGGCTTCCCATAAACTATTACTTCTCTGGCCAGGGTAGGTGAGAAGCCATTTGTAAGGTTATTTTAGATTTAGTTCAAGTCTTTAAACTCAGAGAGGGAAAAAGACCAGGAACCCCCCCTGCCCAAGTAACCCCCAGAGGGACAAAGAGTAAGAGTGTTTATATAACAATGTTTCAGAGCACCAAACGAAAGGATAACAACATGTGGACAATATGTATAGGCAAAAAAAAAAAGTTTTTGTTGTTGATGTTTTGCGTTAGTGTGTGTGTGTGTGGGGGGGGGCAGGGAAGTCTTAGTTGAAACTGAGAATGAACCTTGTACAAGGTTTGACATTTTGGATCTGCAGATAATAAGGCTGATTAGGAAAAAAACTAAAAACTCACCAAAGCTGGCACTGACAGTTTATCGCACAAAGCAAGAAAAGAATTTTGTGTCTGTGGCAGGAATGAGGTCTGTGGGGCCAGCAGCCCTGGACTGGTGCTACATCTGTCCTTCTACGTCCCCAGACCCCATTCCTGGGGGCCACCAGGAGGTTAAAATAGGAAGATGAACCGCCCTGCCGGCGGCCAGAATGGCAGGGGCAGTTCCAGCCCCGGGGAGCCCTGGAAATAGCCACCAGGACCTGGAAACCCAACTTTCTGAGATCGCAGCCGCGACAAAGCCCAACCCGGGACAGAGCAGGGGACCGACCGGGGAGGCTGCTCCGAGAGGGAAAGGGAAAGGAATCAAGCGCGTTTGGGGGGTGCACGTGGGCTGGGGAACAAGGGGTGGGGTTTAAACCCACAAAACACACATATGCACTGGCACAACCCCAGCAGAAAATGCCACTGCGCAGTTTGGGCCAGAGGCTGGGTTCTTTAACCACATAATAAATTAATAAATTCCAACAAAACGAAACCTTGGGTGAAACTTCCCTCGCAGTCCGAACAGAGCAGCTGCGGGTATACGAAGGAGCTTCCTAGAGGGGCGGGGAAGGACGGGCGGACCCAGGGTCCCCCAAACTCAGGGATGTGGGGGCTAAAACGGAGAGGGGGTAGGATGTCCTAGGAACCCTAAACACGAGGATTTTTTATTAAAACGGGAGGAATGGTTCCCCTGGAAGCCTGATTCTTGGGGAGTTTGTGGAGAAAAAGCCAGAAGGGGGTTCACCCCAGGACAAATGTACCGAGTTTTGGTTAAAGAGTGAGAAGGGGGCCCAGGGGGAGTCCCCAAATTCAGGGAATTTGGGGACAAAATGAGGAAGGGTCCCAGGATGCCCCAAGTCCAGGAATTTGGGATGAAATTGAGCAGGGGGTCTTCAGGGCACCCCCAATTCAGGGAGTTTGAGGGCAAGAGTGAGAGAGGAGTCCTAGGGGTGCCCCAATTTCAGGGATTTGGGGGTAAAAGTGAGAAGAGAGTTCCCGGGAGCCCCAAATTCAATGAGTCTGAGGGTCAGAGTGAGAGAGGGCTCCTAGGGGTGCCCCAATCTCAGGGATTTGGTGGTAAAACTGGGAAGAGGGTACCCAGGCATCCCCAAATCAGGAAGCCTGAGAGTAAGAGTGATAGAGGGGTCCCCACGGCGCCCTAAACTCACGAAGTTTAAAGAAAAGTGACAGAGCAGTTTCCCGGGGTGCTCCATTTCAGGGAGCCTGAAGGTAAGAGTGAGAGAGGGGTCCCCGGGCGTCTCCGATGCAGGAAGTTTTGTGAAAAGTGAGGCGGTGGGTTCCCACTTCCCCAGAGACTGCGGAGCAGAAGTGAGGGGGCGTCGCCAGGGGGCCCCACACTTCGGATCGGGGTGCAGAGGTGGGTCATGCGGACGTTGGGGCGACCGGGGGTGCGCCCCCGCCCCATTGGGGTCCCCGCCGCCCCCCGCGCCCCCAGCCGGGCCGGGCCCGGGACGGTCGCATCGGTCACCTGGAGTTCGGGCCAGGAGTTCGGGCAGCGGCTCCCGCGGCGGCGGCGGCGGCTGCTGCGTGTTGGTCCCCGTTGGTAAGTAACAGTCTCCACGGCTACAGTCTCTATGGCGGCGGCGGTGGCGGCGGCGGCCGCTCCTCCTCCAGC